TTTTTTTGGCTTTTTTTTTTTTTTTTTTTTTTTTTTTTTTTTTTTTTTTTTTTTTGAGACAGGGTTTCTCTATGTAACTGTTGTGGTTGTCCTGGAGCTCACTCTGTAGACCAGGCTGGCCTTGAACTCACAAAGATTCAACTGCCTCTGCCTCCTTATTGCTGGGATTAAAGTCATGTGCCAGCACCGCTCAACAACTATGAATCATTTCATATATAAATAAAATACCTCTTGGGCCAGACTGGAGATGTAAATTATTTGAAATGATAATGACACATTTGGATACTGGGCTAGGGAATGGATCAGAGGCTACATGTCACAGCGTGTCTTCTTGCTGGTCACAATAATCACTGATAAAATGAGACACACACAGAACTGTCCATTAAGGCAGTTTAGCCCATGGTTTGCCTGACTTGGCACTTCATGTTTACTGCATGAACACGGTGCACATGCTTCAGAGAGGTCCCTGACAATCTTCTTCACAGCTGAGGGAACAGCACACGCCGGGTACACTGCTGGCCTCAAGATGATGGAAACAGAACAGCAGGCTTCTGGGTATAAAGACACCAAGACCAATGGATACAACTTTGACACCCCAAATATATTACTATTAACCCCCCCCCCAGTCTTGACTCTTCCAAAAGTAACAAAAATGACTGCCTCTCCATTGTTTACAGTCCTTGCTCCCTCCATAGTCCCAAGCTGCCATTTTCAGGCTACTGTGACTTAGGCCCTCATCAACCATTTTTCTTTTTGAGACATGGTCTCACTATGTAGCCTTGGCTGGTCTGGACTCACTATGTAGATCAGGGTAGCCTTGAACTCATAAAGATCTTCCCACCTTTCCCTTCCGAGTGCTGGGATTAAAGGTATGCACCACCCCACCCAGCTCATCTCCACCATATTCATCATAGAGAATCCCGCACACCTTGTAATAATGTCTCGTGTCCTTACCTTATCTAGAACTGCCTCCTTAGAGACTGAGGCTTCATCTGGGTCTTCGGGCAACCGGACAGTTAACTTGAATGTCCCTTTTCCTGGCCACACTAACTCATGGTTCCCTTTCTTCAGAACATTCTGCCGAACTGAAACGTTGAAAAGAGAACAAAGATTTTAAGCCAAATTGGAAGCAATCTTTACTTACATAATTAGTTCATGATTTCTACAAATTCACCATTATGAGCCAGCAGCTCAGCCCATCTCCCTAAGCAGCAAACCCTTATAAAAGAAGGAGAACTTAGCACAGGGATGTGAATGTCACTGTGTGTGCATTATTCATGTTGTAGATGTGTGGGCATATGGAGCAGTGCACACCCCTGGTCACGTGGAGGCCACAGCAGGACACTGGGTAAGTTCCTGCATTGCTCTCTGCCTTCCTACCTGGAAACATGCAATCTCACTGAATCTGAAGTTTGCCCTTTGGCTAGGCTTGATATGATCTGCCCATTCCTTCTCTCTACACCAGGTACATGTAGCCATGCCCAGCTGTTTACAAGGGTTTGGAGATTCAAACTCCAGTCCTAACATTTACATAGCAAACTATCTAACCCAGTGAGTCATCCCTGCCACTAAAATTACTGGAGTGGTGTTGTTTATTTGTTTGTGCTGCTTTGTTGAGACAAGGCTACTATGTCTACTAACGCTTAGAACTTACTCTGTAGACCAGGCTGGACTTAAACACAGAGAGACCTGCCTGCCTCTGTCTCTCAAGTGCTGGGGTCAATCACTGGTGAAATCAAACCTAGGACAATATGATTCCTGTCCAGGCTTTCTGAAAACCTGTGTCTACACCCTCTACACCACTCTCTCTTTACTTTTTTCTTCTTGGATCCCTGTTGGGCTGTTATCTTGCCTACAGCCTGGCTTCCTAGGCCTCTTTGCCCCTCCTCTGCCCCAAATGTTTCTCCAAACTCAAGGAGAAGGAGGAATTGTCTGCATTCTGAGGATGACCCTGGTCTACAAAATCTCAGGTGGGAAGCCACAGGTCTGGGGCTTCCAATCATTCGCCTGAGCAAGCAAACAAGGCTGGGCCTCCCTTGCAGATTTCAGACAGGAGTGGGGAACATTCAACTGCTCATCTGTTCTGGAGCCTTTCAGAAATGAGGGAACCCTCACCCCACTTCCATCCCCACCCAGGCTCAAAGATCACAGCCACCTGAGGCCACTCTGGGGCAGAAGGACAAAGCTGAAACTTTGTCTAGGCTCTGCCACAAGAGCTCCTGGGATTTTTCCCTCCTCAAGCTCACCTCCCAAAGACACCTCTCCCTAGCTAGAACCCCATGGTGCTAGATGATCCACAATTCTTCAAGATTCTTAATTCTTTAACTGTACCACTTGCATAATAAAAACAGGAAAGTTAAGGAAGGAAGAAGGGAGGGAAGGACGGAGGGAGAGTGGGAGACATGAAAGAAAGAAGCAAAGAGAGGAAGCCAGAACGAGAAAGGAAGAATGAAGGAAGGTGGGAGAAAGAGAGGGAGGGAGGAAGGAAAAAAGGAAGGAAGGAAGGAAGGAAGGAAGGAAGGAAGGAAGGAAGGAAGGAAGGAAGGAAGGAACGTGTGAAGGAAAGAAGGTAGAAAGAAAAAGGGAAGCCCCGGAAGGTTCACAACACCAGGAAGCTCCTGGAAGAGCAAGGGGAACCACCATTCCTGGATGTGCTTGCCACTCAGATTTGGCCCCCAGGATCTCCAGCTCCCATGACACTGCAGCCTAGTTCTTGGCCTGCCACCTATAGTCCTGAATCCCCCCCCCCCGCACTGTGAGACCTTTTTGCCCCTCACCATCCTCCAGGGAGAAAAGCACCAGGAAGCTAGCCGGTTTCCCTGGCTGCAAAACGACCTCACACTCCCCTCCACCTGACTTCTTCGGGCTCTGGAAGTACATCTGCAACTTGTTGATTAAGGTCTTCTGGGGATTGGGGCCCCAAGACCCCTCGACCAGCAGCGGGAAGGGTCCAGACACTGCCATCCTGGCAGGCCAGAGAAATCGCAACTGCCAGGTCGCCCTAAGGAGCTCAGAGTTCACTTTGAGTTAACTTCTCTTTTGCTTTCTATTTTCACCTAGCTGTCCCTGCAAACCCCACCCCTCCCCGCCCCACACACACCCAAGGACCCCGGGCACTCCCAGTCCCCTTCTTTCTTCTCCCTCCCTCAACAGAAGTGAGTCAATCCCAGGGAGCTGCCAGTCCCATGGACTCTGGTCTCCAGTGCACTTTGCTTAGCATCTCTCTAGCTGGGCTCAGCCTGCACTTCACCCCAGCCACAGCTGAGCTTTGCTCCATCCCTAGGATAACTTCAGTATACCTGAAATCCACATTGTATGACAGAAGAAAAGGGGCTCACAAATGATCCTCTCGGGATGCTCCCTGCTCACTTGGGGACCACCCATCAGAATTTGATCTGCCTTTTTCCTGCTTCTGAATTCTGTTTTCTCATTCGTGAACACTGTGTCTACAAACTCCCAGTTTTGAGGAATGTGAGCTAAGCACCGATCATGTGTGCAACTAAGGGACACAGATGTGGGGACACAGGAGAGAAGACAGTAAACTGGTGTTGCTGGAGCAGGAGAGCAGTGGCTCCCAGCCTAATTAAGGGAAGGACAGAAGAGCTTATGGGCAGGTGACATGGCACCTGAAGCCTAAGGACTATTGAGAAAGGACCTTAGAGGACTGGGGGAGGGGAGACTCTGGGAGGTGACTCACATGCACAGAATCACTAGGGCTGCTCATGGTGCTGGAGTGGACTCAGGAGAAAGAAGGCTGCCGACCTGCACACTCCAGAGAAGCCTGGAGGAAATGTGGGCTCTAAGCTGCCACTGAAGGCAGCATTTGCTGAAGGATATGAAAAGTTCAGCCTGGAGTGGGGCAAGAGACTGGATCCTAGCGCAGGAGTGAAGAGGGCTGACTGGGACAGGGGTGAGAAGAGCTGGGAACTGTGTGTCCTCAACATGCAGTGAGCGGATGTGTGAGACAGTTAGAGGCTTTGCCACTCCAGAGCTAGGGTGTGTTGGCCCTCTGTGGGCCCTTGCAGGGACTTGAAGGAAGATCTAGGCATTTTCTACTGATGGCTCCCATTTCTCTGTGGATTATAATCCGACAGGTCACACAACTCTGTGTGAAGCTTGTGAAGATCTTGGTAACACCAAAATGTTTCTGAAAGCACAATGACCAAAAACTAATTCAAAATCAGCTGTATAACACATCCTTGCTTGTGGCCCAGCTTTGCCTGTGTTGTCTCCTAATATCACTGCAGCCTTGTTCTGAGCACACATGTGCACTTTGCAGAGGAGGCCCTCACACCAGAGGACACCAGTGAACACTCTAAAACGCGCACATGAAATGAGAGACTGTGGTATGATATGGATTAGTTTTTATTGTACACAAAGTTTTTGTCTTACAGAAACATGTCTCAGTAATAGAAAACAGACTTTTAATGTGTTCCTGTTGTCGTTCTTCAGCGTGTAATTATCAAATTATTCTGTCTTTGGGTTGAATCATGTTAGAATGCTTGGTTCTAAAAATTGCTGTGTCGGGAGTTGGAGAGAAGGCACCACAGTTAAGAGAACTGGCTGCTCTTCCAAAGGACCCAGATCAGAATCTAGCACCTGCATGGCAGCTCACAAGCCCCTGTAACTCAGTTCCAGGAAATCTAATAAACTCTCTGGCTTCTGAGGTCTCTTCATACACATGTGATACCCTGACACTCATGTAGGCAAAACACTCACTATAAAATAAAAATAAATATAATAAAAGTCTTTCAATAAATTTCATCTTGGAAATTAAGACATAATCTCCTACTACTTCTGAAATGATCCTCAACATGTGTCTGCCATTTTATATTGTGTACTTAATTCGAAGTAGGGCTCTCAGCATCGACAGCAGCAAAAGAAAAATGTTCATTAAGTCTGGAAAAAATGAAAAAGGTTCCATGTCCTGCAGTAGCAAATATTCAGCAAGATTTAATTCTTTATGTAAAAAAATAAAAAACAGTTTTGTTGCGATATGCAAATTTGCTTCCAATTTTAGTAAATGATAAAAGCATATGTGAACTCAAGAACTGTCTTAAAATAACTTTCTTTATGAGTTATTCTCAGTAAGTGCTTGGTTTATATAGACATTTTTGTATAACTGGGTACCTGAGGTTGCACTAAAGCAGTCAGCAGTAGAAGAAAAAGTTCTATCTCAGGGTCCTCAAGTTCAGAGACGCTTTGGAGAAAGACAGACCTCGTACATTGTTACTTAATCCCAACAAAGAATTGAAACAGTGTAGAGAAGGACAGAGACCCACAGAGGAGCATTTACTGTTTTGTGTTTTGTTTTGTTTTCGTGGTCTTCAATAGAGCTGAAGACCTATTTTTTAATAGAGTACCCAGGTGTCCTCCAGTTTTCAGCATTCTGACTGCAGATGGTGCTTGCTCACCCAAACAGTGTTGGCCCCTGGTGCAGAGGACACACCTGGGTAGGTTAGAGTGCCAACTCCCCCTGACTTTGTCCCTGGCTAACCCAAACCACAAAGAAAACCAGCAACCCCTTTCCCAGAAGTTAGAGTTCCAGAGCTGGGCAAGCGGTTTCTCGTTTTTCTCACACTATCAGCTTCTAAGAAATAAAGTCATGTTGTAGATTCAAAAGTCCAAAACAGCCCAAGCAGGCTCAAGAGTCCACACAAAGCAAGTTCTTTATTGAATTGGGCATCACAAATCAACCGCTCGGGAACAACAGTACAGACTCAGTGGCTGACTGTGTCCTTGAAGGTTCCTTCCAGCAAGTATTTAAGCAGAAAATCTGCAAACATCTGCACCAAGTCATGGTTACACTGTTCCCCAGTCAAGGTTCAGGGATAAGAAACTTTCCTAGGAAGAGTTCCTGCGGTGCACTGGTCTTGTCCAGTTTACCCAACTGTGGCAGGGAGACTTGCCCACCATACAGGTCTCAACCTGCCAACCAGGATGTCAGTTACCTGGGGAGGTCTTGGGAACTTTAACTTTGCTTCATCCTACTTTTCAAGATGGAAGTCTTATTCAAAATGGCTACAGTTTGGCTCCTTCTTACAGTCACAATAAAAGTAATATTTATAGTTGAAGTTTCCATCAACACTGGGCCTTTCCACTCTGGGTGACCCCTTAGTGTAATCCAGTGTCAGTCTGCTGGTACAGCAGTCTCTAATAGAGCATCTCCAAACTAGGAGTGACATAGGCTCTCTAATTCCCCAGGTGGTCGCTGCTGCCTTTGTTACTTTTCCTGTTGCTCTGCTGAGACACCTGACAAAAGCAGCTGGAGGGAGAAGGGTTGTTTTGTCACAGTGCCAGGTTGTGTCTATCACAGTGCAGAAGTCACAGAAGCAGGAGTCCGGGATGGCGTCAAGATTCAAGATGGCTGTCACACTGCACCCACAGTTAAGGAACAGAGCAGGATTGGATGCTAATGACAGCTCATGCTCTCCTCTCAATGTCCTATTGGATGGACTCTGTGTGCATTGTGCACCATGAGGAAGGAAAGACAACGCCTATGGGCAGTGAAACAGCACAGTCGTTAGTAAATCAGTACATGAGTGGGGTCGCTGACCGATCAGGCTACCTTGATCCTCCTGGCAGCCCTGAGCAGGGCAGCAGGGTTTATAAGCACAGAAACCTCAAACACCGGTGCCAAGTCACAGTTACAAGTTTCCACCAACCTGGGACTTCAGCACCAGGCTGGGACTGCAGCAACATCCAACTTCACAGACTAAAATTCGTCTTCTCGTTGTGGTTGTGTGTGAAGTAATTTTCACTATGGGAAAAGCTTCTTCCAAACCTAAAGTCTCCCCTGGACTTTGCCCTTTCTCTTTTCCAGGATTTCAGGGAGGTTGCTGCAACATCTGCAGCCTGTGTGAAGCTGAAGCTACTCAGGACCTTCTGCTCCCTTGCAGAGCACTTCTCCCTCCCTTCTTCCTCCCCAACTTCCTACTTCAGAGCTGAGCCCATTTTGCACCCCTTCAGGGAAGCCACAGGTGGTGGGTGGTTGGTGGTGGTTTCTCCTGCTCCCCCCTCTCTACACTGTGGGACCTCCTGATGGAGATGGCAGCCCCTGCCTAGTTTTTTTTTTTTTTCCTCTTTCAACTAATGATCTGTACAACTGGAAACTTCCGACTCTTTTCTTTATTGAGAAACCCCAAGTGCTAATATATCTCCTAGATACTGTCCTGTTTACACATTCCCTGACCTGGGGTGGAGGTGAATTGCCAGCAATTGCTCCAAATAATGCTCACCACTAAACTAAAGAAAGAGATAAAATTCAGCAAAAATGCTGTAAGCAGGTTCCAGGATGAGATGGTCAACTCGCTAATGATGAGGCAGTCATTAATGAGATGGTCTCTGAGTACCTGCTAGACTGCCCACCAAACTGTCTAAGGCTCCTGAGAACCATATGGCAGTCAACCTGGCTTTTGTCAACTGAGCAGTCCCAGATACTAAAAGGAAGCTTCAGCAACTCAAAGGACTTAAAGGTAAAAATCTGACTAAATTGATTGCTATTACCACTAAGGTTTATAACAACAGAGAAACACCTGAGGATAAGCAAGTTTGGGACTGGCAAAAGTCTTACTGGCAGATAAGAGCTGGGGGTCTGATGGGCAGAGGGAATGCAGATTGTCTCAAATAGCCAATGGGCACTACTCCTTAAGAAAGGATTAATGTGCTTATTGCAAAGAAAGGGGCCATTGTAAAATGGAATGTGCCACGGACCGGCTCAGGGGAGCCACTCAGACTGTGGGAGAAGCAGGGTCTTGGTACACAGGAAGGCATGAGGTCACCAACAGACAGACACAACACACAAGAGAGTGGTTGGAATCTGCTGCAATTTTACTGAATTCATGTTTTCATTATATAGTATTCAAAGAACAAATCAGAAGGTCATGTGTCATTCTTTGGCACAGTATAAAAGCCTGTTTTAGTCACATCAGTGCTTTATAAGAAAAGCATATTATCAGGGACTG